ATGAGATTAAGTTAAAAATACTTTACATTTTTTAATAGAAGGAGCATAAATTAGCTACCATCATACTTGAGTGATATCTTACTTTTAAGGACTAAGATGATTAGACTTGTATATGCGTGCATATGTGAGTGTATTACTATTTTGTGAACTTGATAGCAACAAAATACTTAACACTTCATTTGATTTTTTTTTTGAAATAACAAGAGACAAGTTAGGCTTGAAGAAATTTAACAAAATTAAATAGGGGTTAAACAAAACATTAGTCCCCTAGGTACATATCAAGGCACTTGTTAGGAAACCAGGATAGTAAAGAAGTCTTCATTTCAAATACACTTATTTCTAATGGCAGTTGATGTCTTTTTTCCCTAAAATGCTTATGATGTTATATTAAAATTGCCTACCTCCATTTTTGGCTAATGGGAAAAACATGAAGAAAACAATATATGTTATTTGAGAAAACTTTTAAGAATAATAACTTTTTTAAATTTTCTCTTCATATTTTCCCCTCTTTATGTTTTGTCGGTCAGGATTAAGGGTGAGCAAAACCAAATTGAAACTAAAAATGGAATTGAACTAAATTGAGTTTGATCTGTTCAGTTCAGTTTATTCAATTTAAAAGGTCAATTCAATTTTTTAAAAAAATATTTTAGTTTGAATGGTTTAGTTTGATTTGAAGATTGTGAAACCGAATAAACCGAAGTAACTGCAATTAATTAGATATATTTATAAATATTATAATTGATTTATATTATTAAAGATTATTTTTAAAAAATACTAATATCATATATTTATTGAAAGAGGGTAGGGGAAAAAAGCGTAGCCCAGTTGACAACCCATCCTATTACTTTAAGCCTCAGTCTCTGCCACAGTGCCATTCACAAATCAAACTCAAATGATTCTCTCAATCTTGGCCCTATACTCTTTACTCTTTTCTCGATTGCTCTCAATCATTTAGGTTTAGCTTATGTCTCCCCACTCCACATAAAGTCACAAACCCTAGCCATCTCTGTGACTCTGTGTCTTTATCTCACACTCGCTCGATTATTCGATCTCGGCTCCTTCGCAGACAGCAATTTGACAGTTCCTCCTTAACACTTCGTTCTTCCCAGCCGTTCGCCTCATCCCTTACTCTCACTGTCTTAACACTATTTTGTCTCAGCCCTTTGCTTTATCTCCCTTAACCTCCATCACTCTCTCGATGTTGGCTTTGTAGTCTCTTCTCTTTTTCAGTCTCGGTCTCCCCACTCCACGAAGAATGATCCATAGCTCACCTTAGGCTTCGTCTCCCTCAACATCCATCGCTCTCTCGATCTCGGCTTTATAGTCTCTTCTCTCTTTCAGTCTCTGTCTCCCCACTCCACGAAGCATGAACCATAGCTCACTTTAGGCTTTGTCTCCCTCAACATCCATCACTCTCTTGATCTTTGCTTTGTAGTCTCTTCTCTCTTTCAGTCTCTGTCTCTCTACTCCATGAAGCACGAATCATAGCTCGCCTTAGGCTTTGTCTCCCTCCATTCAGCTCCACTTTATCTCAGATTTGCATTTATCTCCATTCATTTGCTCAAGTCCAGTTCATTTAAGCTCAGGCTTCATCTCCCTTCTCAGATAAGGGCAACTTATAGACGCAAGGTATAGTTCCAGCTAGTGACTTTCTTCATCTCATGCTGATCTCTTCTTCCTTCTTTAAAATGTCTGTATTTTTGAACTATTGAGAAGTATGTCTCAAGCTTTGTTTTGTTTAATGGTTCAGATAGCCAAACATTAACTCCATCTTCAACATCCAATATTGAAGTGAGTTCGAGAAAAAAGAAGGCCATATAGCCAAGATCTGAAGCTTGGGAGCACTTTCACAAATATGTTAATGAGCACGAAGAGACCAAAGATAAGTGCAATTATTATGAAAGGGAGTTTTTCTGTGATCTAAAAAGGAATGGGACTACTGCACTTAAAAATCATATGGGTGTGTGCAAGAAATGGCTTCTTCCTAAAGAAGGTATATAAACCCACTTGAATTTTAGTATAGATGATAAGGTTTCTATTCTTGCTAACTGGAAATTCGATCAAGAAGCAATTAGGAAATCTTTGACAAACATGATTATGACTGATGAACTCCCTTTCAAATTTATTAATAAGTTTGGGTTTAAACGCTTTATGGTTGCTACTCAACTAAGATTTAAGGTTCTTTTTAAATGGACAGTGGCTCATGATTGTTTTAAAATTTACATGGATGAAAAAATTAGATTCAAAGACTACTTTAGTAGAAATAAACAAAGGATTTATCTAACAACTGACACTTGGACTTCTATTCAAAGAATCAATTACATATGTATTATTGCTCATTTTATTGATGCTGACTGGAATTTAACTAAAAGGATTTTGAATTTTGTTCCAATATCTAGTCACATAGGAAGGGATATTGAAATAGAAATTGAGAAGTGTTTGCTTGAATGGGAAATTAATAGAGTGTTTACTATTACAGTAGACAATGTTGCTTCTAATGATGTTGCTCTATTATACTGGAAAGAAAAAAAATTTCTAATTAGGGCTTTTCTATCATAAAGTATCAGTTTCTACACATGAGATGTGTTACTCACATTATAAATTTGATTGTTGTTGATGGGTTGAATTAATAGGGAGTTTTGTGAAGAGAGTTAGGGAGGATGTTTAGTTTGTTAGGCAGTTTGCCCGTAGGATAAAAAAGTTTAAAGAGAGTTGTGAGGAAGAGAAGATTCAAAGTAAGAGCCTTTTGACTCTAGATGTCTCTACTAAGTGGAACTCTACTTATTTAATGTTGGAGAGTGCTCAAAAATTTGAGGCACTTTTAAGAAGTTTGAGGATAAAGACCTTTACTTTTGCATTAATCTTGAACAAGGGGAGGGGGTGCCTGATGCTTTTGATTGGAGGAATGTTAGAAGGATGGTGATGTTTTTGAGTCATTTTTATGAGATGACCTTGTGTGTGTCTGGTGCTTTTTATGTTACATCCAATAGCTTGTTTTGTGAGATTTACATGATATATCACTTTTTGGATGAATGGACAAAGTGTGATGATTTTGAGCTATCATCAATGGCTTTTAAAATGAAAGAAAAATATGACAAGTATTGGGGAGATCCTTTAAAGATGAACTGACTCATTTTATATTGCTACTGTTCTAGATCCTTGATATAAGTTAGAATGGGTTCAATTTGCTCTTTATAAAATGTCGATGAAGGTGAAAATTTGCAAAGCAAGTAAAGGATGTTTTCATTGCTTTATACCATGAATACAATGAACATGTCTCTCCCTCTAAAGAATCTGAAAAGGAGTAGCTTGTGGATGAAATCCAAGCTGATTTTAGTGATGAAGATGACCCTATTATGAAGGTTAGAAAGTTGCTTGAATCAGAAAAGAGAAAATTTTTAAGCAACTGCCTTGGTGGAAAAAGTAATAAGACTGAAGTTAATAAATATTTGAATGATGAAATTGAAATAGATAAACCTAACTTTGATATTTTGGGTAGGTGGAAATTGAATGGTCATAGATTTCCCATTCTTTCAAGGTTGGCAAGTGATGTTTTGACATTACCAATATCCACAGTTGCTTCAGAGTCTACATTTAACACTGAAGGACATGTTTTGGATGCATTTAGGAGTTCTTTAACTCTTAAAGTTGTGCGAGCCCTTATTTATGTTGAAAATTAGCTTCGTCACTCCATTTCTGTAGTTGTGGAAGAGCAATTAGATAATATTCAGAGGATTGAAAGAGGTGAAAATTTTATAGTATTATGCATGTGCAGTGTTACCTTTAAAATTCATTTGTTTATGATTTAATTTAACTCCTAAATTGATTTATTTGTAGATTTCCAAAGAATTAGATTAGAATCAGCAATGAATATAGTTTGAACTCTTTAAAGTAACTCTTCATTATTGTTGTCCATGGAAATTAGTTTATTTAGTTGTGATCTTTGTTTTATTGTTGCTTTTTGTGATTTTCTAACTTCTAGTGGACTGTTGGTTCTTGTTGCTATCCTCTTATAGTCTTTTTGGTGGTTAGTTTTGTAATAAGCTTGTTCATTTTTTTTAGTTTTATAATGTTTTAGCCAGATGTTTAATTTAACTATTTTCTTTTATAATGTAGGCTCGAGCAAAGATTTTATGTCATTGGCAGCTGATAACTTTTGATGATCTAATGGATTAATTATTTTGAATTATATTAAAACTCTTGAACTTATTTGTAGTTTTTTAAGAGATTATTATTGTTATTTGATGGATTATTTTGAATTGTTAAGAATTTATATTAGGTAAATTATTAATTTATAAATTATATGTGAAATTCATCTATTTTTTACTCTGCTTCTTCAGCTTATAGGTGTAAATCTGAATGACTAAATCTGATTAGTTTATTTTTTGACATTTTCAGATTTCACAGCCTCATAGGGTCTATCTGATAATCCCTTAATTGTCCCCCCCACATTTAAGATTTGTTGTTTTAAATTATTTGTTAATCAATATTTTTTTAGAGCCCAAAATGCTGCCAAAATCAGGCCCAAAGTGTTGTAAATAAGGCCCAGTAATTGAAATACAAAAACCAAATCAAATCACTAAACTTTGGTCTGATTTCACTTCGGCTTTTACAAAACTTCTATTCAATTTGGTTGAAGAAATTGATTAATTTTGATTTTCCAGTTCACTTAAATCACAATTGAACCAAACCGTTAGAATTGATGCTCACTTCTAATCAGGATGAAGGGTTAATTATGCATCAAGCAATTCAAGAATTAATTCAATCGGACATCATTTCCATAAATGCCATGATTTTTATCGCAAATGAAGAGTCCCTCTGTTGTAAAAAATTAATTTTAATTAAAGATCAAGAGATTACAATAAAATTTTAAAATCTCATAATTCTTGATTGCTATCAATTAGCTGCAATGATCTTGAATGACATTTTGCTTTTTAAAATCAGCGGTCCCCTCGTGGAGCCGGCCGGACATTGCCAGCTCGCTCCCCATTTACCCGCCACGACCTACACTAGAAAGGGGAAAAAAAGGATAAGTACAAGCTCCTCCAATTCGAAACCAGGGGCAATCTGGCGGGAAAATTTCAAATATCAAACTTCCAGAGGAAGCTTAATCGAGCACTCAACCCTAATTTCCAAATTTGAAACCCACGCCTCACCCGCCATTATCCACTATATATTGGCGCCTAATCTTCTCGTTCACCTTGTGCGCTTTACCTGTTCGAAGAAATTCTTCAGAGAAACGCTTACCTGTGGATCGTGAGAGATGTACGTCGTGAAGAGAGATGGACGTCAAGAAGCGGTCCATTTTGACAAGATAACTGCTAGATTGAAGAAGCTCAGTTATGGGCTGAGCACCGAGCACTGTGATCCCGTTATGGTATCGCAGAAGGTTTGCGCTGGTGTCTACAAGGGTGTCACCACTAGCCAACTCGATGAATTGGCTGCTGAAACCGCCGCTGCGATGACTGCTAACCACCCTGACTATGCTTGTGTGAGTTTTTCTTGTCTTCCCTTATGGTTTTGGTGCTTGATTTTAGAGCTTGGGGAAGGTACGTTTTGATTGCCATTAGATTTGCGTTCAATACGATTTCACTGATTCTATACTTTTGATGATGGGATTTGTCTGCATCATTCTTAATTGAAACGTAATCCTTGTTCTGTGGGCCTGTATACTGAATAAGTAATTGACGATAGGCTTTTCTGATGGAACATTGGTTTAAAGGGCTTGATTGGCTGCCTGTTGATTCTTACATGTTCGCTTCCGATTATATCTGCAGTTGGCTGCTAGGATTGCCGTTTCTAATCTCCACAAGAACACGAAAAAATCATTTTCTGAGACGTAAGTATTTCTGTAAATGATATACATGTTTTCCTTATTCAGGCTGGCAGATCTGTTGTTTACTGTAGTGTAATGTGGTGGTTCCAGGGTCAAAATCATGTACAATCATTTCAATGAGAGATCTGGTTTGAAGGCTTCTCTTATAGCTGATGATGTCTATGAATTGATTATGAAGGTATCTTTTCTCATCCCTGCTCGTTTATATGCAGTATGTATCATTGGTGTGCGACTTAAGCTTGTTCGTCGTTGTCAATGTCTTAATTTATGTCTTGTTCTTACGTTTGAGATGTTTCCTTTTTGGTTGCAGAATTCTGCTCGCTTAGACAGTGAGATTATTTATGACAGAGACTTTGACTATGATTATTTTGGTTTCAAAACCCTTGAGAGATCCTATCTACTAAAGGTTCAAGGGAAGGTTGTGGAAAGGCCTCAACACATGCTGATGAGGGTTGCTGTTGGAATTCACAAGGATGACATAGAATCTGCTGTCCGAACATACCACTTGATGTCTCAGCGATGGTTCACTCATGCATCTCCTACTCTTTTCAATTCTGGAACTCCAAGGCCTCAAGTATGATCTGTACCTGTGCTTCTGCCATCCATCAATTCATTTTATCTCTTTGCTCATTGAACCTTTGGTTATTTTGTGCTATTTACCTCTACAAGTAGGGCAATAAGTTGTTAAATTGGTTTTATGTGTTTTGGCAGTTGAGTAGTTGCTTCCTTGTGTGCATGAAAGATGATAGCATAGAAGGTATATATGATACTTTGAAGGAGTGTGCTGTCATCAGCAAATCAGCAGGAGGAATTGGGGTCTCTGTTCACAATATTCGATCCACGGGCAGTTACATTAGTGGAACTAATGGGACTTCTAATGGTATTGTTCCAATGTTACGTGTGTTCAATGATACTGCTCGTTATGTTGATCAAGGGGGAGGCAAGAGGAAAGGTATATTGTCACTAAAATAATTCATTTTCATGTTCTTGCAAAATGTGTTTCCTTTATAAACTTTATGCTTGTAGGTGCATTTGCTGTGTACTTGGAGCCGTGGCATGCTGATGTATTTGAGTTTTTGGAGTTAAGAAAGAATCATGGAAAGGTATATATGAGCTAAAAAAAACTGGATGGCATTCTTTCATTTCCATCAAGGGAAAATGTTCCTAGCTATTTATTAATAGTTTATTCTGCATATACTACTTTACTTTAAATCACTATTATTTATGGACTGGTGCTATCATGCTATCATTACAGGAAGAGCACCGTGCTCGAGACTTGTTCTATGCTCTATGGGTACCTGATCTCTTTATGGAAAGAGTTCAGAGTAATGGGGAATGGTCGTTGTTTTGTCCCAATGAAGCACGTGGTTTGGCAGATTGCTGGGGTGAAGAATTTGAGAAGCTATATCTTCATTATGAAAGAGAAGTAAGTTCACTCTTGATTTGTGTAGGATATTTATTGTGTGTTCTGACTGTGCCTTTCCAGTTTATTGCTGTGATGCTTATCCGTGCTTGCCTTAACACAGGGAAAAGCAAAGAAGGTTGTTCAGGCTCAGAATCTTTGGTTTGAAATCCTAAAATCCCAGATTGAAACTGGAACCCCTTACATGCTTTTTAAGGTGGTCTACCATGATTTGTTAAATTTCTACTATAGTATTTTGCTTTAACCCCCTTTCGGATTTCCTCTCTTGCTGAAAGTCATTTGCTTTCTTCACAGGACTCTTGCAATCGGAAAAGTAACCAGCAAAATCTAGGGACCATTAAGTCTTCAAACTTGTGTACTGAGATAGTTGAGTATACCAGTCCAACAGAAACTGCTGTATGCAATCTGGCTTCAATTGCCCTGCCTCGGTTTGTGAGAGAGAAGGTGGGGCATCTCTAGCATGCTTTATGTATAAGACTCATTCTTATTTGGTTTTTGATCAATGTTTCTCAGTTTGGAATTCATTATTTGCTTACTATAGGGTGTGCCAATGGAGTCTCATCCATCTAAACTTGTTGGGAGCAGAGGCTCTAGGAATCGATATTTTGACTTTGATAAACTGGCAGAGGTACCATTTACTGTTAACTAAATCACGTCTTCCTAAAGTTCTTCAATGGAGTTTTGAGCAGGGTACTTTTTAGTTTTTTAGTGGCAAACAGAAAGAAAAAGAAAAGACCGGCGTACTTTATTGTACTGACATGTCTTTACATGACTTTTGTTTGTATGGGCTTTTGGCTGATGTCAGGTTACTGCAGTGGTGACGACCAATCTTAATAAAATAATTGATGTTAATTACTATCCAGTTGAAACTGCAAGAAGATCAAACTTCCGTCACAGACCGATTGGTATAGGAGTTCAGGGTCTTGCGGATGCTTTCATACTGCTTGGCATGGCTTTTGATTCACCAGAGGTAAGTCATTTTCCCGAGGCTGGTAGTAATCTCTGCAAGTTTGATGTACTTTGATTTGATAGTTGACTTGGATGTGGAATGCAGGCTCAGCAGTTGAACAAGGAGATTTTTGCAACTATATATTATCATGCTTTAAAAACTTCTTCTGAATTGGCTGCGAAGGAAGGTCCCTATGAAACATATAGTGGGAGTCCTGTGAGCAAGGTGTATACATAGAATTGTGAAATCATTTTCAATCCGGTTTTTTTAGAGTCATGAGTGAAGACTGAATGTGCGTAGACAGATTATTAAGTTTCGAGTTTCTTGAATTATTTTTGCCTTGCTCAGGGAATTCTTCAGCCAGACATGTGGGGTGAGACACCCTCAAAGCTTTGGGATTGGGATGCACTCAGGGATATGATATCAAAGAATGGAGTGAGAAACTCACTTCTCGTATCCCCTATGCCAACAGCTTCTACCAGCCAGATTCTTGGAAACAATGAGTGTTTTGAGCCATATACTTCCAATATCTACAGTCGAAGGGTTATAAGGTTTGTGTTTTAAATATCCCACGTTATATTAATGCCCTCTCTTGCCTTCTAACTTCTAAGCTCTGCTTGTTTATTTACCAGTGGTGAATTTGTTGTGGTGAACAAGCACCTTCTTCATGACCTGACTGAGATGGGATTGTGGTCTCCTGCTGTCAAGAATAAGATCATCTATGAGAACGGTTCAGTTCAGAAAATCCCAGAAATACCCACTGAGCTGAAACTCATATACAAGTATGAGATTTGCATTATTTTAACCAACCCAAATGTGGCGATGATGCATTCTTACTGACACAATTTGTTTTGTTCAGAACTGTTTGGGAGATAAAGCAAAGGACATTGGTTGATATGGCTGTTGATCGTGGGTGCTACATAGATCAGAGTCAAAGCTTAAACATTCACATGGATCAACCTAACTTTGGAAAGCTTACTTCCTTGCACTTCTATGCATGGTCCAAGGTATGGAATTCTATTTTTCAGTTCAGTTTTGGAGTCTGGATCCAATTATGAAAAGTTTCTTGTGAGAATCCATAGGTCACAGGTTGATTGTTTTTTATTTTTTTAACATATTGTCATTGACATCTGTCTGGGTATAATAGGGTTTGAAGACTGGAATGTATTATCTCCGATCACGGGCAGCAGCTGATGCCATCAAGTTCACTGTTGATACTGCTGCTCTTGAGGTATGAAAAATTCATTATAATATGCCTCATTCATTTTTTTTTAAGTCTATGTTGATTAGAGATCTCTGTTGCCAATGCAGGAAAAACCAAAGTTGGAGGAAGAAGACGATGGTACCAAGATGGCACAAATGGTGTGTTCTCTGACAAACCGTGAAGATTGTTTGGCTTGTGGAAGTTAAGAAGGTCCAATATTGGAACGGCATCATCAGAACATCATTAGGCTTTTACCTTTTGATCATTACGGAGTGGCTGCACATCCCAGGATCTACGAGATTTGAGATTCACTAGTCAAAAACTACGTGCCTATCTGATACTTAAAATGATCTCAATGGCTTTGTGTAAATAAGTATATCAGTTTCGCTTGTTAGTTGTAGGTGCTTTCTTCTCAGATGATATATGTCTTGTGTTGTTTTCTTCATAGTTGTATCTAAATAGTAAATAGAATTGTGTGAGCTGAACAAACGTATCACTGTATCAGGATGTTCTCTCTCAAATATTTGCTTTTGCGTATGATATATACGGTTAATGCTATTATCTTTTAAGCTGTCTAAATTCATCTGCGCACATTGACTTTATATGTGTATATGAACATTAGCATATGATTATGATTGCAAAGCAAGCAATAGATGTCTTATAAAAGTTAACTCTGCATGCTTAAATCTTTTAGTAGTTATACGTTAGCTAAGGATGAAATTACTACAAACAGTTTTACACGTTTTTAATTAAAATCATGTTTATTGTATATTTTGATTAAATAATTTGATAATAAGAAGAAATAACAATTAAATTATAGGTTATACCCAAAATCTGATGGAAGGGAGGAAAGAAGCAAGTTGCATTCCGCGTAAGGATTGGATTTAGGAAGCTGTTGTTGCAAATTGGCGGCGGCGGCAAGCCATGACGGAATTTAATAATAATATTATTATTGTTCTTCAAAGAAAGAAATTGAATGTACGTACATAGTCAGAATGACAGGCTTGTTTTTTGACCGACGAATCAATGGCTAAAAAGATTAACTACTGATGTTTTAAATTATAAGATTTGACATTTTAAAATGTAAAACATTTTAAAAAGATTAAAATTTTATTAAATAAATTTATTTTAATATTATCCTTCATCTTTTCAAGGCATTAATGGTACAACATTTGATAGTTAAAAATGTTTTTTTTAAAAAAATGAAGGTAAATAGTATATTTCTGCCCATTAATTTTTATATTAAAGCTTAACAAATGTGTTGCATGGCATCAAAGGGACCTGGAACCGTTGAAAAAGCGTACATAGGCCAGAAAAGGTCTTGAATTATTCTTAATTCTTGGTCTTTATTGGTGCTTTTTGGACCTGGCTTAATACCTATACTGGGTCAAGTGTTATTTCAAACCAGCTAAATTAATAATTTAGCCGGCCCGACTTTACTGGGCTGACCGTTCCTTGATTAAGCTAATTTATTAGCTTATTGATAATTGATAATTATTAATTATTAATTAAACAACATAACCCACATCTGTTGCTTCTTTTTATGTTTTTGCCCAGTTTCGCTCCTCTTTATTAGCTCCTCGTGTTGTCACATTCTTTTATTTAAAAGTTATTTTCAGTATGTTTTATTGAAAAAATTTTAAATTTCATTAACTTTATTTCAAAATCCAAATTTTCCCTTCATTAACTATACATGCTTTAAAAATAAAATACTTTAACACTTAATAACATTGCTAGCATTTAATAGAGGTAAAAGAGTAACTATAAACACAAAAATCATAGAAAAATCTTATAAATAGCATCAAAATAAATACTTTCTATTTTGTAACAGCTATTTTTAAGTGGAATTTTTTTAAATAATAAAAAGTATATAGAGTTATATCTAAGTCTAATTTAAAATATTATTCCTTGTGACGCAACTTCAAAAATTTTGTAAGTAGAATTCCTTTATTTACCTACAGAATAAAACTTGCATTTCTGACATATAGGATAAAACTTGGGTCCATATGGTTTCATTCATTACATCCAATAATTTTACATGAATTTTCATTCGCGAATCAAAAAAATAATTTTACATGAATTTGACAGATGGCCCTTTTTCTACGACTTTTCATTCTTTTTCATAACTACATTTTCTTAGACTCCTGATGCGTTCATGGACCTAAGTTTTTTTCCCCCCTTTTTGGCTTTGATAATCAAGAAGAACCCAGCCTATGATTGGTTAGTATTATTACAATCCATTAAATAGTAAAAGAATCAAATCAATAGTAGGGGACGAAAAACCCATCTAATTTAAACTTAATAAAGATTTATGAATATTATGGATTTAATCCTTCTATGCATCCTCAATATAACGTAAACTTAATCAACTTCACGTTTATTGATAAATAATAGTTATATCCTTAAAATTCTTAAAAGAGATATAACTTTTCAATTTCATCATCCTTTGCAATTAATAATGATAATAAATTTTTGCCTAAGAATTGAAATGATAATAAATAGATAAAGGATAAAATTGAAAAAAATATTTATTACCATAACTTTATCATATATTAAAAACCAAAAACTTTCAAAATTGCCATTGTATTAAGACCGGAGGGACTACATAATTTTATGCATGCAACAACTTAATACCACCAACTTTAAAGATTTAATACAATAAAAGCAAACTGAGTTAAGAATTTTCACATGATATTATGTTCTAGTATCCAGCAAACACAGAAAGAAAGAAAGAAAGAAAGAAAAAATGATAATACATTAATGATATATTTGGGTTTGCGTTTGCATAACTGAAGTTTTCACAAACCGGAGTTTGCAAATTGAAATTCGAATGAAAGCTAATCCATGTTGTTTCTAATATAATCTAAGTTATAGTTTTAAACGTAAAGAGTAATCCAAGCCCGAAAAAATTATCCCAACAAGTTTTTGACCCTTCAAACCTTGATTTGGATCAGTTACGTTGTCACATGTTGAAGAAAACATGTCTCTCTGTTGTGATAATAATCAATAATATGATAATAATACTTTGGGATGCATAATTTTCTCCGCTTTTCCGGCGCCGCTTTGAATATTTATATATATTTAATTTTCACGGTCCTTTTCTCTTTCTTTTCTTTCGTCACCTCGAAAAGGTCAATGCACTACATGGTCATGCTTGCACGAACGATGTGTATAAATATATATATATATATATATATAAATATATATTCAAAAAGTATTCATATCTTAAAACTAAATCGGTTGACATGTTTTTCTCCTGAACTCTTTCATTCAAAAGGATCACCAAACTCCTAGAAGGTGGCCACCGCCGTTTGAAGTAGCTTTTGTATAATAATTAGGCATGAAGAATTTGAGTATCAACCATATACTTTTTATATCCTATCAAGTATTATTTGATCTTAGCCAAGAGGTCGAGAAATGTATATTTAAGAACTTATATTAATAATATATATTTGAGTGTTGTCAAGTTTAGTTAAGAGTAATTTTATTAACATGATTTTTTTAATTTAAAATATTCAAGTCCTCCATCTTACTTTAAAAAAATGAGTTTACTAAAGTAAGTCTTTTTTTTTTTTTTGGGTTAGCCAATGTATCTTCATAGTTGATAATTGCGAAACTGATCTCTTAAAAAAATTTGAGTATCGTTTAAGGGATTATCCTTTCCTAAGCGATGTTTTTCTATATACACATCTAGGAATAATTTATTATTTATGAATAATATAATTGGTTATATATTTGATGTTTTATATTAATTATACTAATTATACGTTTTTTATAAAATAAATATATTTTTTCATAATTATCAATCCATAATTTAAATTTTATATCAAATTGCATTTTTTGGTATAATGTAGAAACATGTTTACCTGTAAAAAGAATTGTAATGGCAAAAAAGGGTTGAAATATTGTATATAATATATTTAGATAACAATAAAAAGGGTGTAAAAATCAACAAAATAAATTTTAATAAAGATATATTTTATTTTAAAATTTCATATTATTCACCAATATTAAGATAACTAAAAGTCTAAAATTTTTAATAAGCCAAACTAATAGATTATTCATAAATCATGACTAACTCGTTTGTTTTTATAAGATAACTTTTAGAAGGTTTTGTTGTTTCCATTTACAATATGTTTCCAAGCATTTAGGAAGTAATTAATATTTTTAAAGATTCCTATGAAAATATGTAAATGAGAAAATTGATGAGGATTTAATAAATGATATTTGTGAAAGAATGAAATAATTTTAAAGATATCAATTATTTTTCTCGGTTTGATTTGTGTAAATGATGCATGCATTGTGCAGTATTTTCTCCCATCTTAAGTGATAGAATGAGTTGGAATGGAATGGGAATAAGAGTGAAAATAGCTCATTCCCTCGTTGGCTCATCTGGTGTTGCCTGACCTTGGGAATGAATTTTTTTTCAGTCCAAAATATCCCTGTTTAAAATTTATATTGACAACAAAGACCCTCTTTCTCCTTCCTAATTGTGCACTAAATGGGACACATTTTCTATGGGGATTTAAACAGTAATTCGCTGCGTTGATGAGAGATATTTTAAGGAAAGCAACATAATTTTTTACACAGCCGTAAATAATCTACTTAACTGAATTTTTTTTAATATATTTGAATTAGTTTACTAAATTTTAATTAATTTAGGATATGAGGAGACACTAAAATTAAGTCAAGGGATTGACATGATAAACACATAGTCCAATTAATTGCAGCGCCAGCTTGACAATTAATCACCGCCTCTAGTTTTAGTGTATTCTCTTCTCTTACCTGTTCTGCTTTTGATGGGTCAATATTGTGTATCCAACAGTGCCTTTCAACATATCCTACAGTTCAAATTCAAATGTCAAAACCATGCAATATTAATAATCATTAGTTAATTATTATGGAAACTAAAACTTCCATAAATTAACTTCAAAACTATAAAATAAACTCAATGGCCAAGAAATCATGGCACTAATCAATGGAAGGTTTCCATCAATCAAGCTTTCCGTCAGCAATAAATAATTAATCATCCACAGATTTGGTTTTCATAATACTTATTCTGATTCTGATTATAAGGCAAAGTTAAATTAATTTACTTTACAGTTCTTAAGAAATTATAATTAATATCTTTGAACTTGTAAATATTATTTGACTTTTCAATCTTGTCACTCACTGAAATTAATGATTACAATAGAATTTATTTAAGAATAGTACAACTTAATTGTTGTGACTAAGAAGGTGCAATATTAAACAAAATTAATTGTTATATATCTTTTTACTATATTTAGAATAAAATAAGGTTTTAAAACTTTATATGTAATTTGGACTAGATGAAGGAAGTTGGTGATTATTTAATTTGGAGGTCTTAAGTTCAAAGGCTATGTAACTTTAATTTTCTTAATAAAATAATTAAAATGAACACTTTCTTTATGATTAAAAATATATGCAAACTGTTTTTGACAGAAATGCTTTAGCGAATAGTATTAATTGTTCTTAAGGCAACAAAAAAACAAAGAATAATATTAATTGTTCGGTAAAGTACATATTAATTTCAAAATTTTTATTTTAG